CGGTGTCTGAGCGAATATGATCATGCCGAAGTTCATCGCGGCTCGCTCATCATAAGAGCTTGCTATTGCGTGACTATTGGCCCAGACGTGATTGGCAATTCTTGAGCCTTTTGCCGCGGTTTTCACATTTCTGAGGTGTTCTTTCTTTCTTGTGTTGAAGGCCCACCAATGTTTACAGAAAGCCTACGCACACAGACAGATATCTTGATTACAATTCTCACCATGATAATAAACACAAGGCCAGCACAGCAGCAACTCTTCTACACAGAGCCCTAAAGCTACCCAACTCCTCCGAAGGAAAAGAACGAGAACTTAACCGAGTTTATTCAGCACTTGAATCTAATGGTTCTCCATCGAATTTCATTAAAAACATCCAGGCCAACAAAACCCGACGCTCAACAGTGTTGTCCCCGGAGGAACTTGTTGGAACATTTTTCAAGATGGTCGAGGGGTCCGAATCACGCAAGTCGTTCGCCTCTCTTCCATACATTAAAGGCGTAACAGAACCTCTGACTCGTGTCCTCAAAAAACACGACATCACAGTGGTGAACAAACCACTCATCACCCTTCAACAACAGTTCCCGGCCCCAAAATTTCGACCATCGTTGGAATCGCAAACAAATGTTATTTATAAAATTCCTTGTGGTGACTGTTCATGGTGTTATATTGGTGAGACTGGCAGGGCCTTCAACACAAGAAAGAAAGAACACCTCAGAAATGTGAAAACCGCGGCAAAAGGCTCAAGAATTGCCAATCACGTCTGGGCCAATAGTCACGCAATAGACTTTGATAATGCATCTATTATTGACAAAGGCGGTTTCAGAACAAGAAAAATACTAGAAGCGTGGCATTCCAAGTTAACTCCCAATGCGGACAACAATTCCTGTCTATTGCCCGGACAATACAACATTCTTTTTAACAAACATTCTTAGTTATCAGCATTTTTAATTTTTACTTTGTACTTCACACCTAGTATTTTTTACCTTTTTATCATTCTACCCGTTGAAGACTGTAGCACAAACACCCGAAAGCTCGTATTTTTAAAAGTTTTAGTCAGAGATCGTTTTTTAAATTTCATAAGATGTTTTATCCTGGCTGCGGCCCCTCTATCTTTTCACTTGAAATATTTTCTTCATAATGTCCCAGGGCATGACAACAACCAAAACATTTTCTTTTGTCCTGCTTTAAAATTGATTTTCATAGAAACCAATAGAAATATCAAAAAAGCCTTACACACTTTGTTAGCCTATAATGCGTTGAGTAAAACTGTCTACTTTGTTTTGTGGTCCATGGTAATGTGGAGGCCAGAAATTCAGTAAAGCAAACACCATCAGTTTTGTGTTTAAAACAAAAACTGTGGACAATTTGTTATTTTCATAAAATTAAGTGATAATATTTTAAGTAATAAATATTTTTCTATGGTTTCTTTAAAAAGTAGCCTGTGCAGGATGGTTTTTCCAAAGGGCACCCTTTTTTGTTTAAAGCAATCTTAAGAGCTAATATATGGAAAACTAGGATTACCAGTAGGAGGTTTGGATTCAAATCAATATTGCTGCAAAAATGTTTTTAAATTACTCACCAAAAAAGGCATTTGGAACTTTCTTCCTTAAACATTTTACCAAAGGAGCACCAAATGTCAAATTTGGCACAAAATGGCTATGCAATTGAGCGAATAAACATAATTAGCAAACTTAGTTAAATAAGCCTAAAGATATGTTTTACTTGGACTAACAATAAGAAATTGTTGGATGAGGTTGAGCATGATGTTATGAATTAGTACACACTAGACTTACTATGAAAACTCTGATTGGTTGAGAGCATACATTCAATAAACAATAGCCTGTGAGGTTGTAATGAAACATGCACTTTTGCTCTAAAAAGTTTTTGCATTATACCATGAATTATCAGACCTCAAGCTAGTGTCTGAGTTATCTGCCAAAGCAGATGGCTGAGGCGGAAAACAGATATACTTGAGGAAGTTAATGATTGTCTCATGATACATTTTTCAAACAATTTGCAAAAGACGCCACTTCTCTTTGAGTTTGCAAAAGTTTGCACACAACACGGACAAAGGGCTTGGGAACTAGGCAGAAAACTAAACTGAACTCGACATGAAAAACTAACCTGAACTCGACATGAAAAAATGTAAGATATTGCATTTTCATGTGAACTTCACACGTTTTGGATATTGATTAAACGATCTCGACCAATCAGATCTTTCGTAGTAAGTCTAATGTATAATACATGTAATATCCTTTAGTTTTCCCGCGGCCTCTTAGTCAGTCAGCATCTTTTACTTTCGCCTTCTTAACTTACCTCGGCGTATAAAGGAGACAAAAAAATGGAATGCAGATTCAATTAATCAATCCTTTCGTCGTGTGAGTTTGCTAACACAACGTGGATGTAAACTTGTAAAGCGTAAGTATTAATGGTGAGAGGCTGCCACTGATGAAAGCCGTCTCGATCACAAACTCGATCTTTACTTCAGTTATCAAAATATATACCCATCCATAACGTCCAGGTATAGGTAGTCGGCTCCACATTCTAACAGCCTGTTACATTCATCTACCAAGCACGAAAGGTCGGCATTCAAGATAGAAGGTCCAATCTTACAAGTGCAACATGATTTAGGAGCCATCTTTGTTTTTTAGGGCGAGTCCTCTGACTGGTGCGTGGGCGCAAAGTTTTTTTTTTTCCTACTTACCACGCTTTCGTTTTACAGAAACAGTTACCCCTAAGGGTTGATCTAGCCGTAAATTAAAACATCACTTTCGCGATCGCTTTCTTTCTTTGAATATTGCAATGAAAGTGTTATTACGTTTCAGGTTCTCTCAAAGTTTGCCAAGACAGAGAGTGAAGAAACTGATCAACATAAAAAGTGAAAAGAAATTACGTACATACAAACATACATACATAACTTTATTTAGTCAAGCAGGTAAGGAATACGCGACTTACAATCCGATATGGACCTACTACAATTATAAATAAATATAAAATCAAATCTTCAATAGGATAAGCCCCCCTATAAAGCACAGATTCCATAATGCTCCTCTCTGAAAGTCCTGGATTTACCATGATACCCCCGGGGCAACCACTAAAAATTCGCCACCATACATATTTGGGGTGACGATGATAGGCTAGAGTGAGGGAAATACGATAAACTCAGAACTATCAGAGGGTAAAAGGTAATCAAGTTTGCGTTTTGTTTGACCAGGCATTCAACACTTAATCGTGTTGAAATGTTTAAACTTCCACCTAGTTAAGCTTATTTTAGAATGGGCGCACAGCAATTAGATCATCTTATCGATGATTTTGTCCAAAATTATGGCTCTTGAAGAATATTTTGAAAAAACTAAGGATTAATTCAATCGCAGAACGCTTCTATCGATATCTACTGAGCCGGTATGTGCCGCGACAATAGTAGGCAAACGGAGCTCTTAGTACGATAAGATTTCACCCGACACAACTAAGTCTGATCACATGCATTGACCTCCAAATCAGTAAGACGCTGCCATTGGAAACGAAGTAAAAACAGAACTCCTCTGCATATAGAGTTCGCCACTCATTAAAATACAACTGTGGAAATGATTTAAGCCTCTGTACATGAGAGAAAAACATAAAAACAGATTCAGCAAAAAGGTTAAACGAAGATAGAGAGTGCAAACTGTTCACAAAATGTCAATTTTTTTTCTGTACGTTTGCAACACTTGTCTTCTAATATGTTCAAATCCAAAATTAATTTGCCTGACGTCAAAAAATGCAACAGTTCAATTCTTTGATAAGTATGCGAATAAAATTCTCCAGAAAGAGAAAACCGATACAATAAAATAGAACTTCACTCTACAAACCGACTTAAAACATTCTAGAAATTTTCTGTTTATATTAAGTCAAGGAGGTCACGGAGGAAAAAAATGTCTTTTCAGAAAAAAAAATCTTTCCAGATAAAAGTAACATCAACAAAGTAATACCATCATATAATCTGCGGCAAATAATATTAAAAAAAAGAAATATTTTTAAGATGATCGTGACACTAACAATTTTATAGCTTCATAGGGAAATTCTGAAGGAAAAAAAAACCTTTCATATGGAACATCAACAAAACGACCATAATTATCATGATAATGTCGTTGATGACCGTAACAAAAAATTAATGCTACGGGTTTACAGTACTAATAGATCAGAAAATGCGTCGTTTAACATGGTTTTTTCGGCTTTGGAAAAAGTTCATTTGTACTTTCTCTGCGGAGGCGAATACTGTCTTTGTTTTTTGCGTGGTAATAATATAATATATAGATTTAGGCAAGCCTAAAAGCGGAGCTCGCATTTTTTTCCCGCACGTCTCTTCAACAAAACTAAAGCCCCTACTATGGATAAAGTGCTTGGTAATATTAATGGATTTTCATTCGCAACTTCTCCGTTTCCGTGTAGAGGACTGATTATAAGATAGTGCCCGTGTTACGGTCGGTCGTACGGTCGTACATCCAAATTTTTTCGGCTTGATGGGTTACTACTAATTTGTATAATTATGGGGCTACGCTTTGCGAGCTCCGCTATAGTAAGAATTCTACGAATGGTAAAAAAAAAGAAAAACATCTGGCACATTGACTAATCTTTGTCGTTAACTTGGAATCTGTCCCTGTAAAGAGGTCGCCAGATCCGAAGAAGACCGATACCTTGCCGTTTTTCCAAAGTGTAGGAAAGTCACTTCACTCAACAGATTGTAGGTTTTGACGCGATGATTAACCACCAGATGCTTGAATTGAGATTTAACAGCTTTAGCATGATACTTTCACTCTCTCAATTCGGACGTTATCTATGTTACAGGTGCACGTAGTTCAAGTCTTCTTAACAGGGCCGAGGAATTTAGCAATTAAAAATCGATCTAATTTCCAGTCAATGCTTCATTCAGTTTCGGGAAGATCACTAACAAAATAATATATACCGAACATCATCATTGCGAAGTTGGAATGTGGAGAATGAAGACACGATCGCGAGCTTTGATGTAAACGATGAAGTCAGTTGATTTGGTTTTGATTCGGAGGGAAGAATTCAAGCTCGATGGATGATCTATAATTGGCAGAGTATAATAGAGGACCATGAGGGGGAAAAACCGAGAATATGCTCACTATGGTATGAGGCAAAGTTTTAAATTCTTCCCAGTCTGGAACTGTCCTCGTGCATCCACAATGTGTCCAGTATGTTCCAGATTGAAATACAATCGGAGAAGCATGTCAATGATCTGAATTCTTCTAACGGTGCGATGAATCGTATGGGAAGAAAGTTATTCCATTAGCAACAGGACCGTGAAGGTTGAAACTGACAACGAAATAAACCAACTGCCCCTTATCAAAGTTTCTATCGACCTTGCCAACACCTGCATTCTTTCCCACGTAGAGGGCCACTTTTCCTTGAAGCAATTCGATGTAAGGATATTTTTTTCCCTTACTAGTGGAAGGCTCCATGCGGATCCTTCCTTTGCATTCCATCAGTTTCTTCCTACTGTCGGTACTCCAAAACCTAGAAACTGTCTCGGAGACATCTGTTGTGGAGTAATCTGTTTCTTCGACGTCACGAAACAAGGTGCTGCGGGTGAGAAGACGTGGCATTCCTTCACCTTCATTACTTACAAACAATGTCGATTGGCTGCTGCGACAGTGATTCTGAGATTTCTCTCGGCACATATTCAAAGCTGTCAAGTACTTCGGCATGAATTCCATGGCATGCCCATCAAGAATCTTTAGAAAGCAAATGGCCATCTGGTAGAAGTACGGTAGGCAATCATGATGTGAAACCTCTAACCACTTTTCGGTCACACTGAGACCCTGTTCGAGGCTGTAACGCTTAGACCCAGTCACTAACACACTGACCTTCATTAAGTGGTAAGCCAAACGGTGCTCATTCTCTTTGAATACAAGTTCCTCTAGAAGCTGAAGAAGAAATACAAGGTGTTCTTGCTTCATATTGACGATTTGATCGCATGAATTCAAAATAAAGTGCGCTTGAAGTCTCTTAAGCTCTACTGCGGATGACCTTGGAAAATTCTTGGAACTGCAGAGTGCCCGGCACACTTGAACAACGTCATCTGCAATGCGTCCACGGAAATTAGTCTGTTTAAGTGAATAAGTTGGTCCAAGCATGGTTATCAAAGATAATCTTGCATCGCTGCATTTCCTCTGCGTTTCTACCGGATCTGCCAAGGTTGGAACACTTTGAACGATTCCATCAACAATGTCCAGTAGGTAAAACGAATCACTCACACAGGTGCGAAAGAACGGGGGACATTGGTTGGCTAAAAACTTGAGTGTTTTCTCAGAATCCCGCCTGCATATGTTCTTCATAATCCATCCGATACAAGCAAGCCAAACATCTACCTCGCCAATTAGGGGATTTGGGTAAGTTGGAGGAAAGTTACGAGCCTCTCTGTACACCTCGAGCACTCTGTTTGCCAAATCTTCAAGTTCTATCAGGTTTTTCACTTTGCCATTGTTGATCATGTGCTTCAATTCAAAATACAAAACCACCCCTTTCATATGGCATATGCTTTTGAATCGCTGCTTGAAGTTTTTCGCTTGAAAGGCACGTCCAATGAGTTCCATAGCTTTCTCAAATAAGGGAGGTTCCATCTTGGCAAAAAATCTTGCTGCATTGGCAAATATGATCGAGTCACCAGTCTTCTCAGCTACCTCACAGAAAACATCTGCAGCACGTTCAGGGTTTATGGCTTTAAGTTCTTCAAAGAGAACAGAGAATTTTCGCACCCTTTGACCTTCCTTGTTGAAGACAAACAGCTCTTCAAAGAGCGGCAAGAAGTCATCACGCTGGAAAATTGGAAAGTGAAGAAACTGATTTACCACCTGGAACAAGTCACAGGCTTGCTCTTGGAAACACTTCTTCAGCAGCATCTCGGCAACCAGTCGATGCTGAAATGTGTATTCTTCAGGTGGTAGTTCTTTAGATTTATACTTCCTTCCTCGTCGCATACCAAGCCAAGGGTTTGAGGGAACCATCAGGTTCAACAAGTGCTCCGAAAACAGCTGTTTGATATCACTGTAGGTGACATTTTTTCCAGATTCCGGTCGGATATACCTCTGAAATGCATCGGAGAGGAGAAGGGCAGGGGTTGCTTGGTTGCCGTACTTTTGAAGAAAGGCCACCACGATAGCAATTTGATGTTGAAGACTCTCCATCTCGTTCCAAGTGTCGTCGACTATCTTCTTAAGCTTTGGCCGAAATCTCTGGACCATTGCAAGGAGAGGAAAGTGGAACACGCGACACAGATCCGATACCGGCTTCTCACCTAAAGAACGGTCAACAAATTCCTTGTATTTTGACTGAAATTCATTTAAGTCGGCTGGTGAATCTTCCAAGCTGACATCTACGTAGAAGACCTGATGTACACGTGAGGGCTCCTGAGGTTCTTTCGATGAGGTCTTCGATCCGTGTTGGCAACGTAAGAGAAGAGCCCGTTTTCCTCTGTTGCACAGCATCCGCACAAGTTTATTTGAGAGACCTTCTATGAGCCTTGATTGATTTCCATCAATCAGAATGACGGGAGAAGTGTGGCAGATCTCCTCCAGTGCTCCAATGCAATCGACTAATTTGCAAGCATAACTACTGTCTTCATCAAAATAGAGATGCGAGCTTATTTCCATGAAAGCACAAGGATAAAATTTGTGAAGATCCCACATAACGCGCCTAGCGATGGTAGTACCACCAGTGCCTGGTGAATGCTTGATGTCAACAATCATTGAACGAGTTAGACCTTTGTCTAGAAGACGTTGGACATGGACCTGAATATCTCTTTCAATTTCCCTCTTTGCATCATGATTATCATAAAGACTAGCGAACGAAATCGCACTACCTGAAATGAATAATTTTCTGTGTTCATCCAGGAAGTTCTGCAACCGTTGTTCTTCCTCAGATGGGTCGCTTGACGTTTCTGGTAGCTCTTCACAGCCGAGGTAAAGAATGTCTAAGTGTTCCTTCAGAAAAAGGTAATCTCTCTCACTGACGTCTGCATAAACCTTTGCTTGAGAAGTGGGCATTCGGTACCGCTGTGACGTAGATGAAGAAAGCAGCTCTCTCAAACCCAGATGGACAAGCTCTGGATTCAGATCAATCGTGCGCACCTTGACCTTCTGAAATACAGTGAGCCGTTTTTCTTGCTTGAAAGACGCAATCTTCAGATTGAACTGATCGTCGAAGTTCTCAAACAGTCGGCACAATGTCACTTCCAAATACGGAATGCTTTCTTGGCAGTAGGGAAGGATGACGCACACTACCGGTTTCTGCTTGTCAAATTTGTCTGGGTCACAGCAGCATCCAAAAATTCTCGAGATTTCTTTCACGGAGGTTGCCTCCCAATCTGGAAACGTCTCTACATCGCCACCTGTATCACTAGCTCTCCCATTGACAAATAACCACTGGATTTTATTGGGATCAATCTGGCGTATGAGGTTTGCCATTGTACTTCCCTTGACCTCTGCAGGTGTTATCATGCTGACCAAACTACCCTGTCCTTTTTGTGATGTAAACTCTCGATAAAAGCCTTTCTCTTCGGACATAGGGTCAAAATCAAGGACCATCTTCCAAGGGACACACCTCAAAATAGAAAAACAATCGAGATTCTTTGGCGAGAGAGCACCCGTAACAAGAATGTACTGGTTCTTCCGAGTATCAAAATCGCCAACTGCGTTGCAGAACTTCAACCATTCGTCCCAGTTGCGGCCACTCAGAGCTTTTGGGCTAACAAAGTTTTTTCCTTCAGAGTTATATGACTGATTAGCAAGTATAGCATCCAATTTACTCTCCAAGGTATCCAGCTTCTGTCCAAGAGGAATGAATTTCGCTTGCTCCGTTAAGAACAACTGCTTGTAGTGTCCTCCAGCGTTAACAGTCTCATCTAAGAGAACAAGTCAGATGAAACGTAAAAAAAATTAAAAATCTCTACATTTGCACTTTTTTAAAACATCAAAGAAAGTCTTCAGTAAAAATGATACAGCCGGGATTTTTATTTCTATTTCACATTTTTGCAAAATCCTGTTGGGTTCTTTCTTTCTCGGCTCGTTGTCGTCTTAGGAGACTATAATTCGAAGATTTCTTCCTCCTAAACAACAACAATGAATAAACCATATACATTTTAGGTAAAAGGTGAAAACGCTGGGAACGAAGCAAAGAATTATACTCCAAAGAGTAGTTAGCCTTAAGCGAATAGTTCCCGAGTCTTTTGTTTACATCCAGTTTTTTGCATTAAGTGCGGGAAACGCTCATTGTAAACTTCTGTGCCCGACTTCACGTGAATTGACTGAATTTTTTCATGTCAGATTCTATGCCTATCGTTTGGACACCTGAAATTACAATGATCTCTTATCGCCGGTCAGAATTCAATATTTCTGTCTCTATGAGGCAGCAGCTGGATATATCAACGTTGAATCGATTTTACTTTGAATTAAAAATACCTGTTTGAAGCTTTATTTCTGCAATCTCTGTTAAATCAGCACCAAGAATACCAAAGAGATTGGTAAGAAGAGGCCAGTAAACATTGAAGTCGGCATCGAGCATCTTTTCTGAGGAGGGATGCCCCAGCACCTTGTTACGACAAGTCTTCAATTCTTGTAGGGCTTTATCGAAGCCTGGTCTTTTGCTAATTTCCAGTGCACAGCTCTTTGAATATAAGAGCGCAGTTGTCATCAATGAGAAATCCCATTCGTTTATATTACCCTTGTTGAAAATGACTTCATCGTCTCTAGACAGTTTCATTTTCCCTTTATCGAATCCAGCTGCGTCAGATGCCTTATTTGACCAACCGGGATTGAAGTCCATGAACAGCTTCCTTAGTGTTCGAAGGCCAACCCCATAAATAAGCTTGAAAATACATAGAATGTTCCTCCTGAGGAAAGTTAAGAAGTAAGAAGTCTAAATATCGAGGCAAGGAAAGCAACGATCGAAAACCGATCTCTCATTTTTTGCTTAAAATAGCAGTTGGGTAGTAAAGATTCCTGACGAAGAAGTTCGTTTCTGCTAAAGATCCTGAAAAACTAGATTGTTCCATTTTGGCATTCCACATGCCAAGAATTCCACGGGATTAGAAAGCTTAAATTAACTTTTCTAAGTTCGACTAATGTCTGCAAAAACTATTACACAAAGGAATACATTTATCAAAAAGAAAATCGTTTTCTTTCACTGGGTCTTCAATTTAAGTGGACTGAATATTTAACCTGACGCAGACAATCCGAAAAGGAAAGGTACTTTTTGATTAAGTGACGAACAGTTATTTGATAGCCTTCGTCAAGGAAATGATCGACATAAGCTAAAACTGCTAAAAAATGTTCTCTTTCCTTGCCAGTGACTTACTTCAAAGAATTGAATTCGGTTATCTTTCCTACCCAGATAACAAAACATAAGCGGGTGCTCCACTTAAAATTTGTAAATGTTATGACTAGTTACTTACTCCTCATTTCCTGATGGAATATCAGAGGGGTCACCATGAGAGTCAGATTCAACTTTCTCTTCTTCTTTCTCTTTTTCTCTTCTATCTTCTATTTCTTCTTCTCCTTCTCCTCCTCCTATGTCCGTTTGCACAGCGACTGAACTTGGATCTCGGAGTGGAGCCAATCCATCTACATGAAGTTCTTCAGATACTCTGCTAGAGGGTTTCATGGTTCTCTCGGATTCAACGTCACCTTTTTCGTCTTCATCTTTTGGGGTACAAATTTCACACTCCTTGTATAGCACAGGCACAGAGGTAGTTTTCTCACCTACACTTGATGCTGTATCGCCATCTTCGTCCTTACTTTCTATTCTTTCGCTCAGTGAAGCATTATCTTCTGCAAGTGATTGACTACTGTCTTCATCTCCTTGCTCGTTTCTCTTTGTCTCAACAAAATGTCTTTTGTCGTCCTTTGCAACGCCAGGTCCATCCATCGGAGAGGTATCATCTTGTTTCTCGGTATATTGTTTTAAGGAATTGTTAGGCTTCAGATCCTCCACATAGACCATACTAGTCTCACTTTCTTTGCTCTTTTTCTTCTTTTTCTTTTTTCTCTTTTTACCACCAGAAGCTTCCCTCGGTGCTGGAATGACTTCCTCACCTTCTTCAATTGGAGTACCCTTGTCACTTGAATGCAGCTTATTCCCATCTTCGCCGTTGTCATTTTCAAAAGATTTCGGAAGTGGCTCAGAGTTTTCAGCTTCAGCATCACATCCATGAGGGTCATTGTCACTGGTTTCTACCTTCTTCTCCTTGCTTTCTATCCTTTCACTAGGTGAAGCATTATCTTCTGCAAGTGATTGACTACTGTCTTCATCTTCTTGCTCTTCTCTCTTCGTCTCAACAAAGTATCTTTTATCGTCCTTTGCAACGCCAGACCCATCCTTCGGAGAAGTATCATCTTGTTCCTCGGTTTGTTGTTTTAAGGAATTGTTAGCGTTCGGATCATCCTCATAGTCCATACTAGTCTCACTTTCTTTGCTCTTTTTCTTCTTTTTCTTTTTTCTCTTTTTACCACCAGAAGCTTCCCTCGGTGCTGGAACGACTTCCTCGCCTTCTTCAATTGGAGTACCCTTGTTACTTGAATGCAGCTCATTCCCATCTTCGCCTTGGTCATTTTCAAAAGATTTCGGAAGTGGCCCAGTGTTTTCAGCTTCAGCATTACATCCATGAGGGTCAATGTCACTGGTTTCTACCTTCTTCTTCTTTTTCTTCTTGCGTTTGTTCTTCTTCTTGTTTACCGAGTCAGGAATGCCTTCACATTCTTTTCCATCATGAGTTGCTACTCCAGCTACCAGGCCAGAGTTTAGCTCTTCAGATATCGATTCATTTGACATGTCCAAATTATGATTGCAATTCTGTCAATTCTTATCGTTTTTCACTTGACGTTTTCTTTCCTTGAAACGTGTCTTGCATACAAATTTTACTAAATGAGAAAAGAAAGAAAAAAAAATCAATGGTATATTGAATCCCAACAACACTGGTATTTACATTAACCAAACAAATAGATTTGGCGAAACAGAATTTAGTAGGAGGCACATTGAAATTCATGCGTCAGTTTTAAGGAGCTCAGTGTTAAAAAAAATGTTCAGGGACCAAACCGAGGGAGGGGCTGGGGAGGGGGGCTTTAGCCCCCTTCCCCTTCAACTCAAAAACTTGCTGCGTGGTCCCTGAATGTTGTGGCTTGCTGGCTAGAAAAGTATATCTAGTTGTCATTGAATTTTCAAGACCCCTGGTGAAAATTTTTGTTTCAAAAGCATCTTATGTCCAGATTCCTTCTTCTTATCAATGGAAACAAAAATCATGCTTATAATACCAGAGTAAGATTGGTAGAAGATGAAACAACCTAAAATAAAGCAACTTTCTCAAGACTAAGAAACATCTAAACATCCCCCTTTTCAGTTGTTGTTCTTATTTTGTTAGGGTTGCATAATAGTACATAAATCAATTATAATTAAATTAATTAATTAAATAATTAATTTTAAATAAATGCAGTTTTATTAATATTTTCTATAGCTTTGCATAGTAGTAAATAAACAAATTATAATTGAATTTATCAATTAAATAACTAATTTTAAATTAATGCAGTTTTGTCTATATTTTCTATCGCTTGACTAATTCGTGGTATATTCTAAGTCAAACAGACTGAGTTATTTTACCTTCCTCTTTTAATGAATTATAAATAAATAATTCATAAGTTGCAAATGAGAAGTATAACAGCTGAACAGGGTCGCTATAACTGGTGGATTGCTATGGTCAGTTCTAGAAACAATATCTACAAACTCCCCATAATTTTCAACACACATCAATAAATTGTGTAATCATTATGATGGAATAACCATTTATAGGGGACAGGGGGACCAGAGCCCACAAGAAGTGGGAGGTAGGAGAGGGCAGTGGGAGCAGAAATTAAATATTTATTCATCCAGTTAAAAATCATTACCCAGCAAGCCTTTTAGATTCTTAGGCTTAAAAAAAAACCAGCATTTACCATAAAAATTGGATACCTATCAAAGTTGGTTATGTGATGGGTCAATTAGTTTGTCAGTGTCTTAGGACCTGTGACAGTCTTAATTCTCTAGCCAACAAAGTGAGTCAAGTCAAATCTTTTCAGAGGCCATATTGATCAGCCTCAATTTTTTTGAGTGCAGCAATAAAAAATCAGTCCATAGAAAACTTTGTTTCTGTAAATGCCTTTTGTTAAAATCAAGAAATCACATAGCTGCATAATACCAGTGTATAAATGTATGAACAAGATTTAAAATTCATGAAGAAGTCTGAATAATTAAACAATGTGATGTGATATTATTACAGACATAATAAAGCCACTAACACAATGATGATGAGATTTGTGAATATCATAACTCCCCACCATAGATAAGTAATTGGTGAGTCTAGAAACAGGGAATTAGAAAGGAGCACTGAACCGTAAAAGTTATGTGCAGCTTTTCAATTTCATTTTTAAATGGCATGATCCCAGTATATTAGGGATTCCTGAATAAATTAAGTAAATACACATTTTAAATTTGAACAGTTATTAGATTTCACAGTGAAACTTTCCACTCTGTAGTGAAATGTTAGAATCCATGGTCAAACAGGGGCACAAAACTATGGAAGGTGGGAAGGGGTGACACGGGAAGTGGGAGGCTGTGAACCCCTTGTCCCTCCTCCGACAAAATAATGTGCTGAAAAAAATTGATGGATTTCACTACACCAAAACTACAATCCTGTGTACTTTTCTGTTTCTATTTATTTATGAAAGAAAATTAAAGTAAAGTTAGCATTCTGCTACCAAACATGCTTGCATCTGCAAGCAGCTTTCATTGATACAAAACATGTAAAATTTTCCTTGAAAACTGAAAAATCAGACTATCTACATTTACAGTAGACATATGTTTCCCAAAAATTTTTTGTCAGATGTTTCCTGAAGTATGTTTAAAATTCCCAATTTGTTTTGGATCTCACTGCTAAAAATGCGGAGTATTCTTGTTTGAAAGCTGGTTATTCTTCTTGTGAAAGTGTAGATTAAGTTTTTGCTGCACTTAATATTACAGTTGACATTACATCCAATCAAAACTAAGGGAATGTTGATCAGAAAATCTCCTTTTATTGGTCCCCTGCCTACTCTGTATTTTGGATCTGGCATGATACATGTAGGTAGTTGTGTCATTAACTTGCCTGAGTATGAAGCTTGATTGTGGACTTTCATGGTCTGATCATGTTTCTTGAGTCACACAGTCTTTTGTGCAAAAGGTTAAAGCAATGAAACAAATGAAGTGCTTGCCTGTAAAGACTTTGCAAGAGATTTATTTCAAGACAATAATTCCAAGTCTAACTTACTGTATTTTAATTTAGGGAAACTGCTCTACAGCCCTTTTTTCTTCCCTGGAATCAACACATTCAAGAGCATTGAGAATTATTTTTAACCTTGATTCGTATATTTCTGATGCTAATTGTCTTCTGAATTCTCACTGGCCCTCTGTTTCTTATTTTTACAAAAAGTCTGTCCTTGTATTCATGCACAATGTTTATTTTCATTCCCTGTCTTTTTGGCCTGATGAATTGTTTTCAAAGAAAGTCTCTGTTAAACCTCTATGAGCTATAAATCAGATGTTTACACCCAGCGCTAAGTCTGAGGTTGGAAGAAATTCCTTAAGGCACAGAGGACCCCTCATATGGAACTATATGAACAAAATGATTGATGTTGGAGACTTTCTCTTTAAACAAAGAAGTTGCCATTGTTACGATGAAATCCAAGGATCTTAATTATTTTTAACATTTTTTCAGCTTACCATACAAATTAATGAATTGTGAACTTTTTTATGTGCACCTGTAAATGGCTAGTTTTATTTCTTATAATATTCTTAATCATATGTAGGTAAGTCCACGTCAGCCCTTGGCTGCCCTATTCTAACCGACTCAAAATAAAGTATGTGGGTATGTATGTATGTATGTTTCACCATTATCTACAAAGACAATCACTTCACCAGTACACGTAAAGCGAGTTCTATTCCCTCCCTTTTCAGCTTCTGAATTCCCTCTACGAATGAAGTTTGGCGACGATGTTGGTAATGGTTTATTTCTATAGTCGTAGCTTGACTTATCCTGTTTTTGTTGGTCCTTTCCCTTCTAATCAGCTCTCAATTATTTCCTCTCTGGCAAAACTTAGAATTGTTTTTCCTTGCACTATGAATGGATTCATTTATGAGAAAGTGCAAAACCAACTGTATACAACGAAGCTTCCCAGCGAAGTTCGACGTTAAATTTACAACTTTTGGGTTGTTTCAAAGCTCAATATCACCCAGTTCGCGAAGAACTTCGGGAATTTCAAACGAGTCTCGGAAACCTTTCGTCAAAAGTTTTCTGAAACGCACTGGAATCGTTAATTTAACATAATTCTTTCGTATTCCAATTCGATGTATGCTGGCACACATTCCTGAGCAAAACCGGAAATGAATGAGTGAAGATTACGGTAAAAAACCTCTCTAAGTACAAGAACACAAAACCAAATCGCATATGTATCCAAGTAAAAGATATGGACATAAATAACTTACGAAACTAAAGCCTTGTCAAGCCAGAAATCTGTGGATGCGCCAGTCGATGAGAATACTTCCTGGTTGTAATTAGCTGTCAAAATAAATCATAGCTCCTCTGCATCGTCTAAACACTCATTATTTCCCCTAGACGATTAAAAAAAACCTCCAATTTATCGCTTTCTTTCAATTTAACAATCTTTGGGTTTGAGAACATCAAGGAATGAATCTGTTGATATTTGGGGTGGTCTCAACGGATGGAAGCTTTTAGTCTGGAAACGTCCGTGTTTACTTTTATTTCCAGGCTTGACACCGATCACTAGGACCAATAAAACCCTGGGGATGAGAGTATACTCGCACCAGTTTCTTGACGAGCGGGATTTTCAAATGAGCAAGAGGTAAATAACATACCACGAGATCATAGGCAAGTTTGTCTATTTATGTCTTTCCGTTTTCGTAAAGATACTCACAAATATCGGGGTTTGATTGTTTTTTAGATATGTAGTGATACTTGCTTTTTTAAATTGCGACACCGGGTGTGATCGGTCTAAATTTCAATCTTTCTCTTGAAGGGACGCCTAGGCCATGCGCCGATTCAAACGCTAACAGTCCAGTCTAGGGGTTTGAGGTTTTTTAGGGAAAAACAGAAACCTTCGTGTAATCTCTTGATTAATATATCATTTTGAAAATCTAGGGCCAAAAAATATCTTTATTTTTTTGACAGACATGATGAACTTCTTTAAACGCAAACGAAATTCCAATGATCAGGAGCAGATCGATGCAGAAAGAGAGCCTAAAAAGCTGAGAACTGTTGTTTCACTTGTGAGGAAAGTTGGGAACAACGTAAAACAGAAGTTGAATGTGGCTCTGAAGGCACTAACGTCAAGAACGTATTCACAGGATGTAAAGTCAGTCTTATTCACCACCCCTGTGGGTCCACTGAGGTCCGCTAGATATATCATGACACCAGCAGTTCCATTTAGTGCTGCAAAGTCATCGCTTGAATGGCGGTATGTCAGCTAGGTAGTTGCAATGAGTCGTGTCTGCCCACAGACCAGATGAACCCCTCTTATTAGAGCCAATCCAAGTTTCTGTCTGTACCCTTACTTTAGCAGGTACAGACAGATCAATAATTTGTCTAAGGACAAAAATGATCTGTCTGATCACTGATCTGATGTCAAAGGAAAAACAAAGGAAACATCTCTTATTAACATTACTCTTGTAGAGTATTACTTAATAAACAGCTGTTTGCAGAATGGTTGTTGGAAAAGGGTGCATGCAACAATCTCAAAGGCATTGTGGGTAGTTTTCAGGTCACTGCCCTTGACCTCAGTATTTCAGGGGAATTAGAAAATGTCACTTTAAGGAAGAGGTACAGCTATATAATTTGATCTTTTTATTTGTTTGCACAACTGATGTTTAACTGGATTGAAAAAAAAAACAAACAAACTGACCTAAAGTGACCTTGAGAAAAAATTTTTACGACATGATAATATTCTATTGTTCCTCTCATATTCACTTGCATGTTCATTAGTCCTTTTGTCTGTATCGATTTGTTTCACTGATTACCAGTGTGCATTTTTTCCTTTTTGATTCCAACAACTTTTTTTACAAACAGCTGTATACTACAAGAACCTTTTTGAGATGTCAGCTGCATTTTGCTTTACCTTTTACTATGTAACAACTCACGTCTTTAGCCTGAAAACGCTTTACCCCTTGTTAGCTTAGAAAGCCATCTTCATGTGGTCAGCCATTGGAAATGGACCTTGAAGCCATGGCTGGGTAGCCATGCCCTCCCTAGAAGTAATATAAGGCTAATTTAAGTAATATGTCCTTTCATTTTCTTATCTAATATTTTTTTGCCACCAACTGTATGATTTTTAAGGTCACCAGATGGTGAATTTGAAAGAAGTCATGCTTGGAGCCCAGTGCTCTCAAATAGTGTTTGAAATACCATAGCCCTTAAAAAAATAGTGTCTAACAGAGATAACTGAGTAGAATATTCTTACACTCACTATATTTTCATAGTTTAATTCAAGTTGAAAATTTACCAACTGAAACCAGTGTATCTGTTTTCCTCTCAGGAACCATTCTTATTATGTGTTAGACAGCACCATCAATGTTACAGAGAGCCATCATCATGAGTTTAAAACTGGAGGAGGAAGCTACCCAATTACAATACTACCAGAGGTAAGATTATAAAAAATTAGAAGCAATGCCTGCTTTTGGCTCACCCATATACTTTGATATCAACAAGTAATAAGGCATGAAGAGAGGGCCAAAATGATTTATCAGGATAACTTCTAACCCCTCTTTCTTTCTGGGGGTAAGAATCTTTTCTTTATTACAGCGGTTTAATTTGGTGTATGACCAGTCAAAATTTGTTCTCATGACTGGTGGTTGTTTGTTTGTTTATGTGATTTCGCTTTTATTAGTAATGTTACTCCATGATGACATTCTTAGTCTTTCTTGACAGCTCCCGCTGATAGCTTATTAAATTGGCATACATTTATGTGTAGTTCTTAGATTTTCTTTTCCAATCTCCTTAACTTGCAGCATATTCAGAAGTATGGAAGTGCTTTTTTGAACACAGATGGAGGTGTACTCATTGCAGGAGTCCTTGACAATGGTAAGAGACACCTTAGTTTTCCATTGAGGGAAGTGTCTGTATGAGTCAACTGCAGATGTATGTATTCAATACAAAAAATGAAATATACTCATACTACACTGAAAACTACCTGGGTTTTTTTTTACCAATATATTAGGTTTTTTTTTATTTATTAGATTATCATTCAGGCTGTGGGCTTTGATAAACTGGTATTTGGTCTTTCAAGTTTTTTCAAATTAACTTTCAATTCTATCAACACTTTTTATTTATGAAACACTTGTGGTTTCCATTTTTATCAGGTGCTGTTCGTGGTGTTTATTGCTCACCAAGAATGCAAACTAACATCAGAGCCACTGTCAGCCAAGAATTTGAGAAGTTTATTCCCTTTGTGGATCATTCTTTATACAGGTAACTAGTTATTAGTACCAGCCAAGTAAATAAGATAACTTTTTATCAATTTTTATTGATCAAGAGTAAGAATTAGAAAACTGTCAAATGTTGACTGAATAAATTAAGTAAAGGAAATCTTAGAATGGGAACACATATTTTAATTTATGGGCAGAATTAATATTCTGAAAGTTTTAATTGTGTGCCCCTAAATAGAAAAATACATGCGATTGGACAGATCATGTAACTTTTTTTATTTCTATCTCAACAACAGTGCTTTTTGATGTTCCACTTACTTACTATGTTACAATACAAATTATTCAAAACACTTTGCAGCAGTAAAAATGATCAACAGATCTTTGTTTCCAAATAACAGTCACTGTATTATACAATTATGACAGTCACAGAAAAACCAAGCTTCATGTTTAAAAATGCAGTATTTCAAAAATTTACATGTTTTATTCATCTTTAATCAAGAATAATAATGATGATTAAATGAGGATAATATTGTATAATACTAATAATGATAAGATAATAATGTTTGGTGAGTTACATCTATCCATCACAAGGATATTTCTTGTCATGTTGTGACATGGAGAGTTCATTGATTTATTGGAGGGGAACCTTGAAAAATGATCATTAGTTTCCCGAAGGTTAAGAACAAACTGAGGACCAGTAGGATAAATATAAATGGTGTGTTTTTATTCTAAATTTTAAGATGTACTCATGATAAAGCTTATTGATTTACTACTGGTGATAAAAAAATGTTTATAGCTCAGTGATATTAAAATGTCAATAAACATCATCATTTGAGTGATTTAAAAAAACTTTTAATTAAGGACATTATAAATAATTAAAATTTCTTTGAATTTCTCAATAGGGTGAAATTTGTACCTGTAATTTATCAGCCAACGCTACAAGAAAGACGAAAGGGATGGTATACCTACGTAGCAGATGTCTTTGTGATAGAGATTTCTGTTAAGGCTGGTGTTAAAGGTGAATTGTATGAGACCAGGAAAAATCAGGTAAAATAGATGAAGTATGACATCATTACTGTTTTCAATATTTCACAAATGCTTGAAACTAAAAATTTAACTGTCTTTTGGTATGTGATCACCAAATACTTGATGGAAATAACAAATATTTGAGATGTAGGATTCTCCATGATAACATGTAATGTTCTAGGAAATCAGTTATATTCTCTTGAGGAAATATAGTCCTCTTTCATAAATGATGGGCCTAATTTCTATTATTTTACATTCAATTACATGTATGCCTTTCTGGCCTAATGGCAACATGTTTAAATCTAGATAAATTTCACTTTAAAATGAGGCCAAGATTAGGCTCATCTGTTACATTTTCTAATTATTCAATCATTTGTGTTTGACACTTATTGAGAATTACTCTGATATGGCATATCACAGGGGGCCCAAGATTTGAGTTAAAGCCTGTAAAAGTTACACCAGTTATATATTAAACAAAGTTTAGCCATTGTGTAACAAAACCGTGTTCAAAACTACCCTCAATTTAGCTCAATCTTTTATCTGAACATTTATTTTTGTGAAGAGTGTCTAGAACACCAAAACCTAGCAGTTGGAGTACATTTATTTAAAGGAAAAATCCTTATAACGCCTACTTCTTGCCTACAGTATAAAACTGCTGTTTGGGTTGTACCTCATGTAAATAACTGTCCTAAGGGTTCTTATCCAAATAGGAAAGGCATATTGTGAAACCAATAATTTTATTCAAGGAAATTCTAGTTTAGTAGGTCAAAAAGGTTTTACCCCATTGATCCAGAGAACAGTTCAAATTTTAATACTACAACCATCACATCTGAGATACTAATAGTCATTTTCGAAGCAAAAAAAATTTTTTCTCTGGCTCTCACATAATTGATGTCCATTAGAGGAGGGGTTAACTTATGGGAACTGCAGGCGTGTCCCTTAATTAAGAGAGCTTGAAAAGATCTTCCTAATTGTACAAACAAGATTACTGATGAAAAAGCAATATTAAAGTACAGAAAGTATTGCAGTAGGGGTCAGACAATCTTAGTTGAATTTGATGTTTGACATTTTTAACTTGCAGGTGTTCATTCGCCGTGAAAGCAGTGTCCAAGGACCATTGAACCCTCTGCAGATTAAGGATATTGTTATGTCTAAATATCGTGAGGTGAGTTGATAACTGTAAAATAATGTCCTCAATAATCCTTGCACCCTCGCCTGCAAATTTTTACAAGTCATCATTGCTTAGTAAAAACTTTTGGATCAGATTTACCCCAGATTGGTAAATGAGATCTGATCTTGTAAAATGAACTTCTATTATTTTCTAACGTTCTTACCACATGACTGTACTGGAGACCCAAATCTTTGAGCGGAGGGGGGGACAAACATTGGAAACTTGGACTTAAAACTCCAGTCCCCTCCCCCCTCCCCTCCTGCACTTCCCCTACGAAAAAGAAAACAATAACAGCAACACAAAAACTCATACCATTCAATCAGCAAATATTGTGCAGATCCAGAAAATTAAGGATTCCTTTTTGGTAGGAAATTGGAGACACCTTTCATTTGTTAAAATTTCCACACTAGTTTGGGTAGTCCTTTTAGATCAAAATTAATTTAGCAATAGCAGAATTAGAGAGAAAAGAAAATTTATGTATTAGAGAATGAAATTTTGAGATCGCCATCCTTATCCATCTGAAAAGGAAGATTTTTTTAACTAAGAACTTACAAGATAGAGGTTTCAAATGAACCAGGTCAATTGCCTTGAGGTGCATGAAAAACATATCTCAGTGACATGACTCAAAATACCTAAAAAAGAATAAAATATATATAGCAACAAGGCCTCCTTAAATTTAAGAGGAACAGCAAACGAGTTGTGGGATGAATCCCCTCAGATTCTAGTTGTCTCATTCACACACAGTGTGCTGTTGAGCCTGATCCCAGACCCTTCATTACAGTCAACTAGCCTCATGGTTGGTTTGTTGTTGTGCTTTGGTTTCTGACTCCACCAATGAAATGTACATAAACATATGTCTTAGTGGTATCTGAAGTAAATTGATCAAAAGTGTTCTCAGTTTGATATTTGCCACTCTCTGGTGAAAAATCTAGCCAAGGAAATTTCGGGTGGAAGAAAAGTGTCCTTTTGCTTAAGAGTTTACTGGTAATATGTTTTTCCAGGTTATTGAGCAAAGAAGAATGGAAGCTGCCTTAGCTAAGGATCAAGAGTCAACTAGTAAAAAAATTTTCAGACAAAATAGAAATGTTATTGTAGTTTCTCCTTAATGTTGTGGAATGAATTTGAGAAGTTATATTAATTGTTTATTGTACATAAATGTGCAACAGAAAAAGTTGAGTTAACAAAATATTATCTCTTGTATATTGAAGGTTAAAGTTTGTTATTATCAAAGGAAAAAGTTGACTGAATGCCTGCTTAAGAATCTTAAAGTTTACATATTTTGGAATTAAATTTAAATTATCTCCTCTGAGATGCAATTATGAACTTATGTGCAACAGGAGAAAAATTTGATCATTGAAATTTTTCTTTGGTGTTGAGAGTTGAAATTAATAATGTTCAATTTAATGGAGATCTTTATTCCCATGGAGTTTGTATACTAATTTTATATCATACAGAACAATTAACAATTAAAAAGTATTTTTTTACCAGGACGTCAGCGATTAAACTTGAATTTTATCTATATATATCGCTTGGTACGATTTTCCTCCTTCCCAGCCCTCTCTGCGAAAAGTACGTTGCTTGAGGAGATCAAGCAACGTACGCGAGGCTTGATAACCAACGGTTTATCAAGATCCACGTTCCTCCCTGGGATTGGAAAAAAAGGGGGCGGAAATCGTGTCTTAATCTCCGCAAAAGAAATATTTTCTGTTTGAGGTAACTATGGATCAGCCTTCTACTAAGGACCACTTCATATTCATGTGTTAGGAGTGCTTTGAAGAACTAGCACTTAAAAATAATCATTATTTTGTTTGGTGAAAAGCACACGTGCATTTTCAAAGCAGTGTATTTCGACCAGTTTCGTCTCTGAAACGTTCATTTGTTTGATTACAACAGAGGGTTGATTTTGGGTTAAGTTGAGTTGAGTTTGATTTCGAAAAATTTTGAGTTCTACCAGTTAAAACAGAGTAACATTGCCTCTTCATGGCCATTTTGAGTCAGAATCCTTTGATTGCCTTACCAACAATAAGATCATACTGTTTTTAGCCAAGATCATTCCCCCGACACATGTTCCTGGTCTTCGGCCACCCTTTAAAATTACCCGATATCACGATAACGCCCATTCAGTAATGACGAGTAGGAGATATGTTTTCAGTTTGTCAGTTAATCGTCTTGGTGATTTCCTTAAAAAGAGACAATGGGGCTAGAGTACAGTTGATCGTCAACTTTATTTGTCTTAGATTACACCTAACGCTTGAGTGCCTTTTTGGAATCAGTGCAAATGGTGATGTATATAAAACATTCTGTGCGTGCGATGTGGGCGTTGATTTCGTGATCTACCTCAAGCCAGATTCCACTGATTTTGCTTTACTCCCATTTGACGTTTGGATAATCTATCCTCTTCACAAATCTGCCACCGCTCATTTTAAATTCATGACGACTTAAAAATGGGGAAACGCAACATTGTGAGGAGATTAAGTAAAACGGAAAAATAGATCGCAAGAAGGATTATAAAGACAACAACAAGATACTACATTGACCCAACAATGTAAAAACTTAGCAAAAGCATCAAATTGTGGACTTCAAATTACCTATTTCCATTTATAATCAACCATTACAATTTTCTAAGATGTGATTGGTGCATTACCTGCTAGTTTTTCACTAACTATCGTGTAGAGTTGTAATTGGATAGAGTAATCGTACAGTTGGCTTTAATCTGACTGTTAAAGCAGCCAATCATAGTAAGTCCACTCATCTAAATCCACCGACAGAACTGATAACAACGACCATAGCAGTAACCACTTACTCTAACAGAGCTGGGGAATTCCTTAAAAAGGAAGATTTTTTAAAAAATAATTTATCTTGAAAGCCCTTTTCTAAATAAATTGGTTTTTTAAGGAGATTGTAATGGTTATGATCAATTGGTAATAGGACTTCCTGTTGTCCAATTCGGTCTTTTATCACACTCGTGATTACTAAATCGGACTCCCACTTCGCTGTCGTCCGATTTTGTAATCACTTGTTATCACAGACCGAACTGGACTTTACTCATGTACACAGTAAATTTCTTATTGGAGGATGATAAATATGAAACTTCTCGCTCATGGAAAAGCGTTTTGTGTAACTGCTTCCGTTGAAGCTAAATGTTACCGCTTCCGAGAAAAGATGCGAAATATTTTCTGGTTCGATTGACGCCCCCGAGATTAGTTCCTTTCAGACAGAAAATTATAGTTAGCGTTTCAGGTCAGAATGAGACCCTGTGTGATCAAGATCGTTTTTGAATAGAAGACAAGTTAGATCGTAATCCTTGATAAAGTAATCGCGACCCGCGAACGTTGGTAGGCCATAACTTGTTTTGTGATTATGTTACCTAGCTCTTGGTTGTTGCTCAAAGCGAAACTTATCGCTCGTTTTTTATATTTCTTTTGGTTCTTTTAATTGCCACGAGCTCGTTTCCAAAATCGAATTTTTTTTAAAGCTATGATCACAATACTTAGGTAATTTCTTCACGTAATGATTTCAGTTGACTGCATGCTTCCATATAATAACGCCCCAAGGAACAGAAAAAGGAATAAATAAAGAAAAGATCCTATATTGGCTTGGTGTTTTGGTTAACACCACTAGGACCCTCCTCAATACCTCTAAATTATCTAACAATACATTCAAACATGTTGGGTAACATCTTTTCTTTTCAAAATCCGCGACCGGTAAGTTATTTTTGTAATGGCTAAAAATGTTACTTACAAGTGCAGAATTAAATCTTAGGGAAGCCTATTTAAAGAAAGAATATTGGAGGAAATTAAAATATCTAGAAACAAATCAGATAAAATAGAACCCGTTTGGATGCCAGCGTATATAAAACAGCTGGCTTAGCTTTCTTTTATTTGCGTCTAATTGCTCGCTTTTGCTACAGAGAATAGTTATGGTTTTGCTTTAGAGCACGATGACAGCGCCAGGCCTATCTGTTTATGTCTAAAAGGCTAAAAAAGGCGACGCGATTAGTTTTTGTTTGAAAAGAAAGACTAAGGGAATGAGAATCGTTCGGTTCTTGCATTTCCAAAATGCGTAAAAATTTTGACAAATCGTTTTTGCTTCCTTTGAAAGGAAAAGCAGCCGTTTGATACAAACTGTAAACGCATTATTGTCACAGGGCAATTATCCTACAAGTCAGACCTGATTAACAACACCAAGAAGACCATAAGAGTAAATATAATTTGGCGACCATCACTTTATCTGAAAGGATTTTAAAAGACGAAACGAAAAATTGTGGAGATGCTTGAATAAACAATTTTAACATATAAGTATGATCAATTTTTTGTATTGATTTTAGTTCAACGTAATTTCCAGAGTTAGAGAACAGCTGGGTGAAGAGAAAACAGATCTCTCAGTTACAAGAATAATAGAAACTTAACTGCAGCGTTGACTGAAACACAGCTCATTTCAAGCTGCGCAGTTAATCCTAAAGATGAAAGAATCCCGAAAACTTTTTCTTATTGTATGGTTTCAAGAGATATCACGGAAACATAATTTTCTCTTGCTGGTATTTGTCGAAATATTTGTCAACAAGACAAAAAATTTGAGATTGCTAATCAACATTTTAATTGTAAGCATGGTTACGTCTGATCTGTTTTATTCGATTTTTCTGTTTCAAAGGTAAGACAATAAAGAACAACAACTGGTTCTCTTCTGCTTCGCAGGGGATTTTCAAATATAGAACAAACTGTCCTCAGCATAGCGTGTAGTCTTTGACTGATGGATGATTGGCTGCAATATACATAAAGTCTTAAACATATCAAGAAAACCGAATGTACTGACACAATGAGTAAAACCAATTACAAAAAGAGAGAGCCGGGAGAGAACAGAAGGGAAGTTTTGAGTATCAATTGTTTTTATTCATGGCGATTCTACATTGACCAATTTTGCTAAAAATGTTGATAATCAGCTTTCTTTTAAACAATGAAAGTGCAAAGATAACAGCCAAAATTAGTTCTCGGAGAACTACCGGCTGCGGACACTGGTTTTTCAGTGTCAATGATGTTGGCAAACAGGACTGCAACAATGAATGGAAGTCAAAGATCGAGCTGCTTCAACCATGAAGCTAAAAGAATCGGTATTTCCTTTTATTACTGCCTGATTTTCGTTCTGGCACTGATCGGAAACATTTTCATTGGAATTATAGTCTACAGGACGAGATCCATGCGAAAACCAATCAACTTTTTCATTTTAAACATGGCCATGTCAGATCTGTTGTTTCCGATTGTCTGTTTTCCATACATTGTAACAGAGATGAACTTCGGCTACTATATTTTAGGTGGTCCTGTAGGACAAGCTTTATGTAAGCTAAATTACTTCCTCATAGATGTCTCTGCTTCCTTGTCGATTCAAAGTCTGGTTCTTATAGCAGTGGATCGATTTGGAGCTGTAGTTTTTCCTCTCCGTTCTCCACTGATCAGTTCAAAGCATTGTCGGTTCTTTATTCTCGCCACTTGGATCATTGCGGTTGCTGCTAATATCCCAGACGCTTTGACCTACGAACTTGTTGAGTATCAGGAAGGGCTGGTATGTGTGCACAAGTGGAATGAAGTATTTGGAGAGTCACTGAGTTACCGAAGCTACGAAGTTTCAATGCTTGTAATATTCTGGTATGTTCCTATGGTTTTGATTTCCATACTTTACATGACCGTTGTTATTAAACTAAAATCTCAGAATATTCCGGGCGAGGGATCGGCCAACGGAAGAGAACAACAGTCGCGCAGACAGAAAAATGTGCTGAAGATGTCAATTGCCATCGTGTTAACGTTCATAGTATGCTGGCTGCCCACTACAATCTGGTGGTTCCTTGTCCTTTATGCTCCAGACAGCACTATGACGGCATCTTGCGGCTTCCAATATTTCGCAGCTATTGCTTTTCGTCTGGCTCATTTTAACAGTGCTATAAACCCTTGCATCTCTTTTATTTTCAGTGGAAACTATCGCCAAGGTCTTAAAAATCTCTTGAGATGCTGCCTTGTATGCACCAGTGCCAACCAAGTTGCAAAGTATTAAGGTTCACTCACAAGTTTGATAAGTGAAAAAGATTAAGAAGTCAACAACTATAATAGAAGGATCA